TAAAACTCTTCATAGAAAGCTAATCCACTCAAATTTATAGACAGCTAGTTCACTCAAAATATCGAAAGCTAGTCCACTCAAAAAGGGAAAAAAATTGCAAAAAGTATTTAAATAAAAGATCATTTGATATATGTTCCTAGTACTATAATTTGGAGGCATGGTTTCAGACCAAATTTTGACTTTAACAGATATTCCTAAGGGTGGGTAGTAAATTTTGTCTTAAGATGCAGCGATAGTAAGTTGGTCGAGTATTTGGCTACCAAAAAATTTACTCCTTTTTTTTTTTTTTTAAAGCAAGACATTGTTAGCCTAATTTTAGGCATCAGGTCAAGTGAATTTAAAATAAAGTTCTTTTAGTTTTCTTTTAAGAATACATTTAAAAGAGTGTGCTTTGATAAATCCTTTATTATAATAAATTTACTCTTAAGAAAGAAGAGTTTGAGGTATACAAAGGTATATTCAAATGAAAATATGTAAATATTGTTACTGGTCAAAATATCTTGAACCTGTTTGTCTCAAAAATTTCTATTATATCTTGAAATTTCTGAATTCCCTGATTTACAATAAAAAATTCAATGAGTTTTTTCATGTTTATCTCGAAACAATTTCCTTTAGAAATCAATCAATTTAAGGATGATTCAACTCAAATCAATGATTTTTTTTAAAAAATATGTTATTTAAATCAATGTTTTTATTTACTTATTTTTTAAATCATGTTTACCCTGCTTCCAACTCTACTAGACAATTATAATTATTAGAATTCAAACATTGCTTGGGCAGAAAGAGGAACCCCATATTTTTTTAATCTGTCTGAAATGTGAAGTGACAGGATGTTAACATTAATTACTTGACAGAAAATGTAAATATGTTCTCATTAATCATAGATACCTCTTAAATGGGACAGCATAGAGACAATAACATTTTAAATAAGTGAAGTTCAAATGATATTTTGGCTATGATTTTGAATTTTGAATGAATTAATTCAAAATCTGATGTTATCACATGTTATATAATAAATGTATCAAAAGAACTTTTGATGTTTTGTAGAAAATGAGGCTCCTTTCATCAATCTAATTTTTTTTTATTTGTAAAAGTGTATAAATTTGTTTATTTTGTCTGGTTTTATATACAGTATTAAATATTTTTTAAACACTAAATTTTGTGTTAACGCTGATCTTATTTGGAAACTTCATTAATTAGCATAGTTGCCAACTCTACTGGATTTTGCCAGTTTCTACTGATTTAATTAAAATTCTCTGGGTTTTTGTACATTTTAGAAAATTCCCTAAAATTGAGTAAGTTTCTTAAAAAAATCTCTATTGAAATACAATTTTTATACAGATTATTGCTTGAATATTTAAATAAGTATTACTAATACATATTGAACCCAACCTTGTGTATAGAAATTAGTTCAAAACTTTATTTGTTCAAAAATGTTCAATTTATTTTTATTCAGAATTCTCATTTTAAATTAATTTAAAAAAATCTTTTAACTATCTTTGATGAATTAAATACCTATTAATATACGAAATTATGAGTAAACATAATACATAACATTTCAAATATGTTTAATGCCAATCATAACTGGTAACTTTTGCAGTTTTTCTGTTTTAATGACTATGAAAAACCCTAAAATTTTTAGTACGTCATGCAACAATTATCATGAAATTTATATTATTTCGTAAAATCTAATGGATTTTTTACTATTCATGTAATTATGAATCAGTTTAGACGTTAAGGCTGTTTAGTTTTTGTGTGCTAACTGTTTCTTAAGTATTTTGCTGATATAGTTTCTTTCACATACCATAAGTATTTTTCATTTATACAAGGTGTAGATGATTTGTTTATATAAAAAATAAAGCAGAATAATCTTTTACCTTTTCTTTAAAAAACCGTAGAATATATATATAACCTCTTTTTTTCTTTCAAATTCCTATTTATGACAGTTAATTTTATGTTTTTTTCTTATTTATTTAAATCTTGACCAAGGAGAAAAAGAGATACTTTTATTTCTTACACGGAAAAGTATCATTTAAAGTTTCAAAAGCGCTTTAATTTTTTAGGAGGAACAAAGAAAAAAGCACTCAAATTAAATCTTATAACTTTGTAAACTTGCAAATGTTCAAAATTAGGTCACTTCAGAGAGCTTAAGTGACATTTTGTATTAAAATGAAATATATAAATAATTCTAAAGATTTTGTATAAAATTTTTAAAAATGTTTTTTGTCTACATGGACAAATTTCAAACACTTTCACAATGAGTATTGCTTAAAAAACTTCTGCCTTTAGTTACATAATGCACTAAGGAACCTGTAAATATGTAAGTACTTATTTCAGGATATTTATGATAATGCTTCACCCAAAACAATTAAAAAAAGATATTTCCAAACATGCAATTTAAAATTACGTTAGAAAATATTTATCACAATCACAAATGTTTAAAATATTATGCTCAACAAATTACTTGTTGAGCCTAATATTATTCTTTTCAATGGAACTAAGCTTGTTTTATGTATTTCCTCAATTGTCCTTTTCTTTTAAACGTCCTTCTATATTGTCCTTTTCTTTTAAACTTCTTTAAAAAAAATAATATAAAAGTTATTTAACTTTGAACTTATTAGGAAATGAACTAAAATTTTATATGTCTTGTTTAACCTTTATTGCAGTTTTTTATTGTTTTAAATCAGCACTTCTGTAATTATATCATTGCTGATCTAATGATCAATGTTATTTAATATATGTATATTAAATAAAATTATTGATTTAAGTAGTTAATTATTATCTGCATTATTTTACTCATTTGTTTCTAGTGTCCTTTAAGAAGGGCAGTTTATTTTTTCAATAGGAAAAAAGTGGTAGCATAAGTGGTTCATTATTAAAATATGATTTGCAAAAACAAAATTCTGTCTACCATAATATATTAATAATATATACAGTCGAACCTCGCTAACTCGAACCTCGATTTCACAAATTTTTCAATATCTCGAAGAAAAAAAAAATTCCCTTCAAATTTCCTATACACTCAATGTTTAAAAAAACTTGATTTCACAAATTTTTTTTTCCTAATTCCTCAATAACTCGAATTTTTTTCCATAAATAGTGTAGATTTTTTTTTCTAAAATTAAAATAATATTCCAAAAAAATAAAAAATGGCAGACAAGGCATGGAATGATGTGTAATGAATAACTTCTAGAAGTCTGGATTCATTAAAGATCACGAAAGTAGTCAAACAATCAATATCGTTAATTCTGCTAAAAACTGCACCGAAAATGATTGGAACAGATTGCCCGGATTCATGAAGTTTGATGACATGGAATTTCATGACTTTGTAAACGTAGATGATGCAGTAACAGTGTNAATGGAACTAAGCTTGTTTTATGTATTTCCTCAATTGTCCTTTTCTTTTAAACGTCCTTCTATATTGTCCTTTTCTTTTAAACTTCTTTAAAAAAAATAATATAAAAGTTATTTAACTTTGAACTTATTAGGAAATGAACTAAAATTTTATATGTCTTGTTTAACCTTTATTGCAGTTTTTTATTGTTTTAAATCAGCACTTCTGTAATTATATCATTGCTGATCTAATGATCAATGTTATTTAATATATGTATATTAAATAAAATTATTGATTTAAGTAGTTAATTATTATCTGCATTATTTTACTCATTTGTTCCTAGTGTCCTTTAAGAAGGGCAGTTTCTTTTTTCAATAAGAAAAAAGTGGTAGCATAAGTGGTTCATTATTAAAATATGATTTGCAAAAATAAAATTCTGTCTACCATAGTATATTAATATTATAAATAATATATACAGTCGAACCTCTCTAACTCGAACCTCGATTTCACGAATTTTTCAATATCTCAAAGGAAAAAAAATTCCCTTCAAATTTCCGATACACTCAATGTTAAAAAAAACTTGATTTCACGATGATTTTTTTTCCTAATTCCTCAATAGCTCGAATTTTTTTCCATAAATAGTGTAGATTTTTTTTCTAAAATTAAAATAATATTCCAAAAAAAATAAAAAAATTTAAGAATGGCTGACAAGGCATGGAATGATGTGTCTTCCTCTACGATAATGAATGGCTTTAAGAAGTCTGGATTCATTAAAGATCATGAAAGTAGTCAAACAATCAATATCGTTAATTCTGCTAAAAACTGCAACGAAAATGATTGGAATAGATTGCCCGGATTCAGGAAGTTTGATGACATGGAATTTCATGACTTTGTAAACGTAGATGATGCAGTAACAGTATGTGGTCAGTGGGATAACAATGATATCATCGCTCAAACGAGAGCTTCTTGTAAACTGTCAAAAAAAGAGGATGAGGAAATCGAAGATTTACCACCCAATGTTACTAACAAACAAACACTTTCTGCAGTGGACACTGTAAGGAGATTTATTGAGAGGCAGCCGAATATGAATATGTCAGAGGAGGCATTTAAAGCTATGGTCCACTTAGAAAGTGTTATAGACAAACTTTCTTACACATCTCTAAAGCAACAAACAATTGAATCTTTTTTAAATGAAAGTGTAAAAAGATTTTTAGAACAAATATGGAATAGTAAATGAGGTATGTAAAGAGCATTTTTCTTTATTCTATCATCGATAACATGTGATTTTCGATAATTTGAATTTTCGATATCTCGAATTTTTTCTCCTCTCCCTTCAAGTTCGAGATATTGAGGTTTGTCTGTATTTGGATCTGATATCAAAATAAATTGCCTTTTTAAGTGGTAGAGGTTATAGAAAGAAATATCAACTTGTTTTAAAAAGTACCTTCAACCTTTTATTTTTTTCTTCTTATAAGTGCTTTTTACACAACTTTTAGTATTCAAATATCAATGAGTTAAGTTATATTACATTTGTTGCAATATCTATTAAGAAATTTTAAAAAAAAATCTGAAATCCCAGTAAGTCTAACAATATACCTGAGTCCTTTTGAAAACTGTACTGAGTCCCTTTGATAACTTTGTGCTAAAACTGTATCCTTTATTTCAGAGTGCAAGTTTCTTGGATATTGTAATGACACAGAACTTTATTCTGAAGAAAGTGAATGTTATTCAGATGAAACTGAATGCTATTCAGAGGAGAACTAAATGCTGAACAGTTATTATATTTCAAAACATTATAATCAAATTTCAAATTTAATTACATCAGTGCTTGTAAATTTTATCTTATTTATATGCTAATCTCATTTTATTTATGACCACCTTTTTTGTGTTTTACTATGTAAAATTATAAAATCGGAGCAAACTAGCCCTAAAAATTATCCCTTACAGATCAGATAAGTTTCTTTGATTAACTTATTTGAAGTAAAAATAACATTTCATAATCTAAGTTTAAAATGTTTATTTTTGTTAAACATTTTCATATGTATATAGATTTTGACATCCTTTTTTTCTTTTCTGCTTGGGTTTTAAGTTCATATAAGTTTTTAGTTCTTTCAGTTTTTAAACACTAATTTTTTTTTCAATAGATATAACACAATTCTAATATTGTATTTTTATAAAAGTTTATTGCACTGATGAATATTAATTATATTTACACTTATGATTAATTATTAAACAAAGAAAAAAAACCTAAAGTATTTAATTTAAATTAAGATAACAGGAGTTATCAAAGTTATGAAAATATGATTTTTAAATTTTTTATACTAATTTATTTTTAATCTTGTAGTTGAAGATAAAATGTGAGGGAGCAAATTATTTCATACGTATGGATCTGGTTAAAACTAAAACTCATGCTTATGACAAATGTACTATTCATGGCAAATAAATTTTTTGTTTCTCAAGAAATCTATTTTAATCCAATTGAGAAATCAACCTAATGTAACCAAGAAATCAATTTTAATCAAGAAATCAATCATAAAAGAAATATTTATTAAACTTCCTGATAAATGTAATGATTTTAATTTTTTAGCTCTAGATATCAATATATTTTTAAAAAAATATGAATGTTCAGTAAAATTTAAATCTTATTTATACAATTATTATATACATGATATATTGCTTGATGAAGGTATTAGTTTTAGATATACTGCTTGATGAAGATAATAATAGTTTCAATCTGATCAAGAAATCACTCTTAATCAAATTAAAAATCAATCGAAATCACTCTTAATCAAATTAAAAATCATTCTTTTTTACAGCATTTGATAATTTTACAAATAAGTAAAATGGTTTGAATTTACAGCTTTGATGATTTTTTTTAAAAAAAGGATTCAAATTAATTTTGACAGAAATTTTTTTCTTTTTAAAATGAATATTTATTTTTATATAGTATTTTAAATATTATTTATACAATTATTTTATACAAACTATATAATTTGATATTATTATTCTGTTTAATATACTAATTTCAATTAGTTATAGTTATGCATTTATATAATTATACACTCCATTTCAAAATTTTAAGACACCTCACAAAAAGCTTGTAACTAGTTTATTATTAGAGTAGCTTGTAACAAGTATATTTTTATTTTAAAAAGTATATTTAATATTTGTTGTAAGTGCATTTAATTTTCATTACTAAAATTTATTATGCATTTTAAATATTTTTTTAATTATGTAACTAAGCATCACATTTTATTATTTTTTTTATAAATAGTTAGATATAAATTTAACTAGCTTAAAAGTACAGTTCATGTTCTCTCAACATTAAAGTATCTGCAGTTAAAGAGCAATGAATGTTTAGATGTTGCCACCTTAAAAGAAGTATACTAAGAAGATAATATCTAGCCGCTCATTTTCCATCATCAACAAATTATCAAAGTTCACATAAGGAATTAAAAAAGTCAAATTTTATAAAAATTCTGCTTGGATGATTACTAAAGATTCTATGCCGTAGGGAGGTAGGCTATTGGTTTGTCATGATTTGGGATGCAATTTCTTCATTTGTAATATCAAAGCTCATATGGTTTTAAGTAGGCCAAAATTTTATAGCAATCTATGATATCTATGCACTCAAAGTTATATATTTTTGTTATTTGTATAACACAATTCTGTAAATCGCAATTTCTTTAAAACCATAGTAACTTTGGTAGGTGTCATTAGTTAAAACTGCAGCAAAGATATTTCAGTAACTATGCAAGAGCAATTAACTTCTTACATTATTTGTTTAACTATTTGTTAAAAGGTTACAATTTCAAAAGCTTCAAGGCTTGCATTATAAAGATCTACTTTATTAAAGTTTTGAACTGGTCAGCAATATGTCCTGACCTAGCTAACATCAGAAACATTTTGATGATAACTGCAAAAAATAAAAATTGAAATTGAATATAGCACTACTTGTTTTAAGTTCTAATAGCAGTACGCTCTCATGCATATTTATACAAATATTGTAATACATACAACCAAATTTTGATTGCAAGCTTATGTGACTAAGTTTATAAAGTTATTTCGAAATAAAAGAGTCAAGTCTGTATTTACTTTACAGAATTTTGAATACTTATTAGTTATTTTAATTTATAACCATGATTTATATTTTTCAAGGTGTCTTAAACTTTTGAAGCATCGAAATTGAATTATGTTTCTAAATAGTTTTTTCAAAAATGCAATTTTTATGTAAAAAGATAATTACATGTATTTTTAATATTTTTTTTATATTTCTGTAATTTAACATTAACAATAGACTTGCTTTAAGCTGTTTTATGAAATAATTCTAAAAATGTCACTTTTTTTAAAACTTTAATTCTATGTTTATAATTTCTATTGTTCTTTATACTTTGTGTCAAAAATTCTGAATTCTTTCTTAAAATAATTAAAAAGAATAAAAAAAAAATGATTGAAAGAATATAAAGATTTTGCTACTTATATAATCGCAATGAAAATTTTTCAGATTTTATTCTTCTCGTTCCATTTGTGATAGTTCAAAGTTGCAAAAATTTCAAAAAACTTTTTCTGTTATAGGAAACAAAATTCCTATATCAGGAAGTTTTTTTTTTGGAAAGAAAACCTTATTTTTCTTAATTGTCAGAAGTTTAACAAAAGCTATACTGGTAAATTTAGTTCTTGGGGAATGCTTTACCTTAGTCGAACAGGAAATGTGTATCTTTCTTTTTTTTCAGACTTAAGGATGCTTCCACATCTAATCAATGGTCAAAATATCAGGTCTTTATATTCTGTTTAATTTTGATTCAGAGATTAAATTAGCAGGTAAGATAAAAAAAATACAAAATTTAAAAAAAAAGAAGAAAAAATGTAAGTGCCTCATGGTAGATTTTGAGAAAAGTGGTTTGACAACTATTTTGTTTCTATTGTTAATACCATGAACGCTAAAATGAAATATCAAAAAACTGATAAAATAATATTAAATTTAGAAAAAAAATTCTTTTTCAATGAGTAGCTTATCATACAGAAATGTTAAACATTAAACTCTCAATTTATATTTTTTTTATAGCTTGTGTTGCTTTTTCAATTGCACGACTCTAGCATGCTACCAGAAAATAAGTTCTATGACATAGGCTATCATGTATTCTGTTTCTAACCATTTATAAAATAATTTGTCTGAGTTAAAAAATATTTCTACCCCAGATATTAATGTGTACTAAGCAGGGGTCTGTCTAGTTTTTTCTGAGAGGTACCTATTTTGAGAAAATTAAAAATTATATTAAATAAAATCAACACAAATATGGATTTATTGTTTCTTACGAGACATAAAAATAAAATTTCAAGAAAAAGTATTTTGTGAAACTACCGTTTTTCCTAAAGTTGAATTTGTGAAGGTACCGCTAAATGGTAGTGAATTTGGCTTGGACAGACCCCTGCTAAGTTACTTGTTCTTAACAAAACTGTTCTTGTATTGCTTCTAAATTACAGATCTGGTTTTAACATTAGTATCTTTGTATAAGTAAAGAAGTGAATAAATGTGTTTCATAAGACGTATTGCCAGTTTGTTTTTGATTTGAAACATTCCTTTAATTTTGTAAAAATATATTCTTATTTATTGATTACAATAAAGACATATTGATTTTTTTATAGGTTGTATTTTTTTTATATTTTAGCTAAGTATTGAGCTTGATTTTTGATCATAGTTCCTGAAAAAATTATAACTATTCCTCTAAACAGCTGCAGAAGTATAAAAATATTCTAAGCATGTAGTCCATATATATATTCTAAATACAGGACATGAAATTTCAGTTCTAAAGGTAGGTTCTAGCGAGACTCAAATGTTTGCTCGCCACTATTATGAAAAGTATGAATACAGTCGGACTTCTATTTAACGAACTTCCTTTTGCGAATTTCTCTATTTTGAAAATTCTTTCTAGGAAATTTCATAAAATAACTTCCAACTCTGGAAGTGAATTTTCTATTTAACAAACTTTTCTTTGAGATCCACTTTCCCTATTTTCCAAAATATTTCAGAACATTTCAAACTTGTTAACACATTTTCTGGGGGAAATGAACTTGAATTAATTTTCAAAGCCACTGCTTTCTCTAAAAGTTATTTTAGAGAGAACGGTAAAATCCCTTTTTCTTTGCATTTCAAATGAAAAACTCAGTCCAAATTAACGGATTTTATCAGTAGCAATTAAACTTAAGAACGCATGTGGAAATGCATGTTTAAAATTACTTTTATAGTAAATACAGCTATAATTTAATACATAAATTTAGCTTCTTTTTTTTTTTGTTTGAAAATGTATGTATCATGATAGTGTAACACTGGATGATGTTTTGCTCTATTCTTGCTTTCCACGCAGATTTCTTTTATGGTTAAGATTTTAAAAATAAATAGTAGTTACTAGTTTACAAGTGTTTATGAATTTAAAACCTGTTTTGTGTTGTTTAAGTATTTTAAAAGGTGACTTTTTATTAAACGAATTTTCCTTATAACGAACTTATTATCGGGATTAAGCGACTTCGTTAAATAGAGGTCCGACTGTATTTTTCAAATGTTAACAGATATAGTATAAAGAGCTTTTTGGTAGACAGAACTATAAAAATGGAACCATGACCTGACCACCATTAACTGAAAAATAGAATAATATTTATTCCAAAGTAAAAGTAATATTAACTTAAAATAAGATTGCTATATGTTTGTTCTCGATGGCTTTAATATTATCCACTTATTGAAAATCATTAAAATGAAAAGGAAAAAAAATTAAAATATCAGAAATGTTTCCATGCATTTAATGTTTGTTTATGGCTGTCTTTCGGCAATAAAATACCACCTGTCATTTACAGCTCTCGTATCAAATTCTGTTACATTAGAGTTAATTTCTGTTACTCTAGAGTCTGACTCTGTTAATTTCTCGCCAGCCCTAAATATTCGATCGCCTATAGCGAGCTGACGAGTGGAAATTTCACATCCTGCTAAATGAGTTACAAATTCCAGTATGCTCTAAAGCAATTTTATCCGTTGGTTGGTTTTAATGCCACTTGCAACAAGTGCAAGCCTGCTTGATGAAACAGAGCAAATTTAAGGTAGAGTGTGCGATTCTTGTTTTTCAGTGGCGCCATCTATGGCCAAGAATTTGACTTCTGCCACATCATATGTGACACCTGTTTATAAGGCGGACCCATTCATTCATCCA